CTTTCCCTCCAAAAGCTGCTCTCCCCCCACACCCACCATTCTGCTGATGTATTTGTCTTATGGAAAGAGAAGTGGAGTTTCTAACTGACTAATGATGTTACCTGTATCTCAAAAGCAAGATCAGTAAAGATTATGTTGGTTTAAGAATATCCAACTGGTGCATGTTTTCCACTTCTTGGGCTTTTCTAACTCTGAGACCCCTTCAGTATTTGTTGAAGCTGCCTGAAAGAGTCAAAAGCAAAGTAAAAGTGCTGGTTTTGGAAACAACTGACAATTGTTTTACTCATAAGTTCTGTCTGTGTGATTTATAACTGCTGCTGCTTCACAACCAGAAGGATGGTTGTGTAGAGCAACCAAGAGAATGAAGTGGCAAAATACTGAAGAACAGCAACAAGAAATCAGTAGTTTTCTAAACAGATTGTCACAAACAGAAATCCTGGCAGAAAGATCCCCTCACTTAAAACCATCAGGGGATGGACCAGAGCAAAGGAAAGGGAGCATTTTTAGGGGAAACTAAGGATCTGGGGCCATGTATAACTGAACTTTCAAATAGTGGAGGACAGCAGAGACTAGAAACTGGACTATTAGCACCCAGGTGCCAAAACTATTTCTGTCACAGCGGACTTTGTTAGAGAACAAAACTGTTGAAATGGACAATGCTCTGTTTTGTAAATATAGAAAAGGTTTATTTTGATACCTAAAGAACAAAATTCTATATTCTAGAGAGGCAGCAGAAAAAGAAACTGTGTAGAATTGGTTTGGGAATTGCAGACTGCAATGGAGCAATTTTTTTTGAGGCATAAAGGAGGAAGGATACGTTTTCTTTCAATACTGCTAATTCTTGTTTTGTGAAATTATATTTGGCAATAACTGTATTTATTTGGCAGTGTAAAAAATAGTTCAGTATTGCAGCTAGGGCCTGCCCTGCAGAGATACACCTGGCAACAGTACTGTAAGATTAGGGCTGAGAGATTGAGTGCAAAAAGCTCCTTCAGTCTCATCTCGGGAGTAAGAACCCTCTTTATTATCACCATTCAGCACTGCTGCTACTTCTCTCCACTTCTCCACGCTGCTATCACTGACCCCGAGCAGGGATGGGCCATAGGGGCATACAAACATACAATGACTAAACTGTCACTAGAAAAAGCAGTCCTGACCACTAACAATCAAACCAGAAAAAGACAATGCTTAGGAATGGTTGTTTAGAAGGAAAAAAACCTAAATTCCAATTGTCTGGCTCTGAAGGTAAAGGAGCAGCAAACATCTACAAGATAAAAAGTTCTCAAAAATAATATTCTTAGTAGCAAAGTAAATCAGATGTCACAACCAGTATCTCTATGCCACAAAGCTTCAGGCTTATGAGGCTCACCTTAAAGCTTTAAGTCAAACATCTCTCCTGAAAGGCTTTCATTGAGTTTCATTTCAAATTTCATTTAAAATATTTACATTTCTCATCTAAAGTTGCAACTGTGGACTCTAAACATTTATCAAAAACGCATGAACCTGCAGGAAGAGAGTCCTCTTCCATGTGTATAAGCAAGATCCTTTTGATCAGAGACTCATCACTGTTCATTCAAAAGAATGGAAAGAAGAACAAAGAGGATCCTGCCAAGCCAAGGGTTCATCTGCTCTGACAGCTCAGAAATAACTCCTGCCGTGGCCCTGGGGCACCTCACACCCAGATGAGGGGATTTTGGAATATGGCATTGTTCGGAAATCTCAGAAAGCCCACGTCAGACATCTCCTTTGATCCTCTTGCTTGCTCAGAGGCTGCTCTGCAGTTCACAGTTTCTCCATGCATGAGCTACTGTTTAAACATATTTTTAATGTAGTTAAATCCTCAAAGAGGAACCAATGCTGTAAATAGCTAAGGTACTTTCTCAGTGTGACTGTGACTTCAGATTAAGTTAAACCAGGTATAAAGCCAGCTTTCTACTTACCATTTTAACATCTACCTTTTTTTGAGGTGCCATCACAAATGGACTCTTAAGGTTCTGTTCTGCTTTTTCCCCATTATCTAACTTTTCTAGTACAATATTTTAGTATACTTTTATATACTAGAGGAAATGCCAAAATACAGATAGGCAATTTTAGGACATACATGCAAAGATATGTAGCATTTTAAAAGTAGATCTTTTAAGCAATCCAAGGGTGGTGTTTTGTTCCGTTCTGGTTTGTTTGAGGGTTTTTTGAGAGTTATTAGGAAACTGTAGTGAATTAAAATTAAATTTTTACCTGATTGAAAATATCTCCTCTAACAACTTCACAATCAACTTTGTATTTACAGATCAGGCAGGAAGCTGTTGCAAAGGAACCTGAGGGGAGAAACCCATATAGTAGAAATAAGGATTGAGAGTAATTCAGATTTGGTCTTTTTGCCCAAGGTGCTTTGCCACAGAGGCTGTTGTGTTGCAGTACTATAAAACCCAGTAATTTAAAAGCAATGTAAAATTAAGATACTTGTAGTACTCAAGGTAGTTCTTCTAAATGTTAGTCAGCAGAATTCTTGTTTTAGGAGTAGGTTATACCACATGCATGTCAACACAAATTATACTCTGTCCTCTCAATTCCCCAACCTGTGCAAGCATATCCAGGGAGAGGAGAGCAGAACCTTCCCTTTCCCTCTTTACACAACCAACAGCAGTGCTGGCAGCTCTGAAAGCAGCAGCGTCAGGACCTCAAGAAACTGTAGTTATCAAAGGGCAAAATGCTTGGCACACCAGGTGCAGATGGAAACCAGCACTGGGTTTGGGGAGACGCAGGACTGGACCGCCTGCTGCTTCGCCACCATGACAGAACACCATGCTTGCTCTGTTGGAGTGAAGAAAATTGCCAAATCTGGCACTTTGCTAAGTTTTGTAGGTAACAATGCCAAACGACTCTAGTCCCTGGAACAGGTGGAATTAGACAGGCCTTACAAACATGCCAGCAGTGACTTTTCAGCAACTTATTTGCCAGAAGTCTACTAAATGATCCAAATGTGCCCTGTAAGAACTCGTTTTCTGCATTCTTTCCTTAAAAATGGATCCTTGGCCTTTTAGCTTGACATCTGAAAGTCCTTGGAAGTGGAAAGCATATGAAGCAACTAGTGAAGAGATTCCACTTCATTGGATATCATCATTACAGAATGTGCATTACACTGAAAGTGTAACCAGGTGATCTTCAGTTGAATTGAACTGGTGATTAATCCACAACATTTTACACATCAGGTAAAGTCGCTCCAGTGTCAGGATATCTTAAGATTTCAATGGAAAACATTCCAAATAAAGAATCAGGTAACAGCCAAACTCCACTGACAGTGAGAAGGACCTGTGGAAAGACTGATTTCCACACTATGTCCTCATCCATGAATATAAAGAAGCACCAAATACATTTAAAAAGTTAAGTTCTAAGCTTGTGTGAATGGGGTATGGATCTTCACTGATACACAAAACCCACCATTTATCAAGCATAATTTCTGAAAAAAGTATTTCCACTTGAAACACTTCTGATTTAAATACTTAAGCCACCCCCCAAAAAATTCTACATTTTAAAAGCAGAGTTATTTGTTGCCAATTAAAGAAAAAGAGTCACTTCAATGGTAATTACCTTGTCACATACATCAGTAAAAATCATTCCTACCCATCAAATAAATGTAAATAAAACCACTAACCATGACACTGTATTATCCTTTGGATTCCTGCAACCTGTTCCAATGTGTCTATGTTCTGAGTATAGTTGCGAAGTAGTTTTCCTTCTTCATCCATCAGGGCTATGAACTTGTGACACAGAGATGGCTGGAATTGTCCTGGGTAGATTTCCTATGGAATTCAGAAGCACATTAGATAGTGTAAATGGTTACATGAAGTCCTCATTCCAACTGCAGCAACTCACACAGAGGTAAATATTATCAAGGATTATGTCAGCAGTGAATGCTGTCACTCCCTTTGCATTTTGTCATTTTTCTCAGATCCAACTCTTATTTCAACAGTGGAGCTTCTGATCATGTCAGGGTGACTTCCTCCATGTGAAGTTGGTATTTTGTTCTTCACACAGCATAAAAGCAAAGTTTAGGTCTCTTGGTTTTGGCAATTATTAAATAGGAAAGCCTTGTATGTCAAGTAACTTCACTATTTGTTACTAGAGGCATACATGGTTTAACTGCAGTCAGACAGAAATTTCATGAGGATTTGGGATTCTGGTCTTTTGGTTGGAGACAAGCAGGTTTTACTCCTCAGCATTATCAGCAGCCAATCCTAGAAGTAGGAAGCCCAAAAGGCAGAATGGCATTGGATGTAAGGGGAAAGACAGGTGATGCTCAGGGCAGCTCTGCCAATTTAGCTGGTTGCAATAGTCACCAAATTAAACCTGTGTGGTTTAGCAGAGTGATTCCACTGTGCCTGATAAATGCTTAGCCCTTCCGCTAGATGAAGGGAGAGGAGAGGTAGGTATGTTTGAAGAGCACATGGAAAGAAAGGTAGGCAGTGGTGTTTGATGTTTAGTCCCAGTGAACAAGGAGCCTGCCAAAAGGATAAATTAAATGTGGGCACCCAGGTGAAAGCTTCACATGAGGAAGCTTCCCTGAGAGCTGACCGCCCTGGTGGTACCTCTGGTTGCTGTGTGACACGTAGGACACCAGCAGCAGCACCACTCTCCTGCTCCGGAGAGTTAATTTAGGGGATGAACCTGAATTCCAGACCCTCTGCTCTCCAGTCACTCTCATTACTGACCAGCAAATGGGCTGGAGTGTCACCTGGGCAAGTCTCACCAGGCCTTTTAACAGAAAAAGCACCAGAGCCACTGGCCAAAAAGCAAGTCAGTCAGGACGAGGCTGCTGCCTGCCTTTACCAGTAGATACTTAGAGCTGAACCAAAACTCCTACCACAACAGTGGACTGCTAAATTAATCCTTGTGACAGCTCTGCCTTCAGCTGCCATATAGCCTAACTATTAGCAAACAAAAAAGACTTCCTGAAAGCATTTAGGTTTCCCCAAAGTATTTCAAGTTACTCATAATTCTGAAGCTCCACAGGCCTCTACACTGCAGCAATGACCAGTGGCTGCTCACAGTACTACTGCCTAGATCATGACATGGTCATCATCAGATATTCACATGGTCCCAACAGCTTCCACATCTTAGTCTGAAGCAGCAAGACATGTTCTGCCACGAGCTCTGCAAATATATTTGGCCAGCCTGTGCTCCTAGAATTAAAGGAACTTAAGATTTAATGGAATAAGAAATCAATATTCTAGCTAAGCCAAGGAAAGGAGGAGGCAACATTATTTTAGTAAAAAAGTATCAGTCAGTTTGGATTTGGACTATTTTGGGAAAGCCTGCATATAAACAGGCTTCAAGCAAGTTCGGTTTTTTTGTTTGTTTGCTGTACAGATTTTATTTTTGTCTTATTTTAATATTAAAAGCCCAAGGAACTGAGTATACTAAAGAGCATCAAACTATGTTTGTATCTGGATAGGAGGCTTTCAGAGCAAGCCAAGCAGCTGAAGAATGCATTGGTATTCTTTGCCACTCTTTAGAATCTTTGTAACATAACAGAGCAATAGTATCAATTATGAGAAAAGAGAAGGAAGAGTGAACACAATAGTGAGTGATTTTCACAACTCCTTGCTGGTCCTGTAGTAATTCTTCCAGTATTTTGCTTTTGCCTTTTTTTTTTTTTGCTTTTTTTTTCCCCAAGGAAATTCCACACTAAATGCAATTTTTTGTTTCTTCATGTCTACAGCTTCTACAATTTGTTCCTGTCTGTGAGATGAGGTCTCTGCCTTTTAGACTGTTAAATATTAGTAACACCTCTCCAAAAACTGCTGCGTTCTCCCTTGTAAGTGAACACGGTCCCTGCAAAAGCCTTTAATTCTCTTAAGATGTACAGATCCTGGTGGCAGCTCTATCAAACCTGAAACAAGAGCAAACTTATTAGTGCATGAAACTGCTTCAGTCCTCTTTACTGTGAACAGAGTGATAAAATGTGAATGTACTGTATGACACTGAAGAGCATGCCACAGCCTATCAAATTCAAATGTAGCCTTTCCACATTACTCATGTGCTGGCCAGAAGTTTCTGATAATCTTTCATTTTTTAGAGAAAATGGCAGCAGCTAAGATTACTGAGGTTTGATCAAAGAACTACATGCTCTTATGTTTCTCCCTGAAATTAGAGACACTGTCTGGAATGGTTGTGCGTAATGAACTTCTGACAGAACAGTAAAAATAAGCTTAAAAAAACATGAGAATGTTGCTGAATCCTTCTAGGAAGGTTCGTACGTGGTTGCATACAATGACTGAAGGAACACAGGATATAAAATGGATACATTGCAAAGAACTGCCAAGGAGAGAGTTGTTATGCCACTGAATTAGATCTCTCATGAAAGTAAATTCAATATATTAACATATTTTTCTATTTTGTTTATTAAAAAAAAAAAAAAGATACAATTTTGTTAACAGAGTAGTTTTATATCTGATTTATGCATTTTAATATTGTCTCTCTTTACTGACCAAGATAAGAACTGTTGGAAAACCATACCTTTGCAAACTTAAAAAATGGCCTGGGATCCTTTCTGAAGTATTCTATATCAAACATTGCTTGAGGGTCGGGAAGGTCTGGGAAGTCTACAGCAAGGCGTGCATAGATGCCATCTCTTGATCTAAAGTCAGGTATTCCACATGACACAGACACCTGAAATATATGTTTGCAATCTGAAATAAGCAAAACGACAGATTTGGCTATAAAGAGTTTTTATGATACAAACCTCTCAGGAAACCACACTTCTGTATGCTCACAGTGCTCAGAGACATTAAAAACAACCAGTCTCAGTTCTCTGTATTTATTTTTCTTTTTTTCCCCCTTTCTTTTTTTTTTTTTTTTTTGGCTAACATAACAATTCCCAAATCACAAGCAGAAGAAACGGCACAGAAACAGTTTGACAACTGGACAAAAAAATCCCTTCAGTACAATCTGTACAGGCAGTAATAAGACACCAAAAGTTTACTTTTACTACTGGAAACTGGAAAGTTTACTTTTACTACTCTTTTGTACAAAGAGAACAAAAATTTAAAATAACGCTGCATTAAATTCGGCTAGTAAGTGTTCATTGACCTGTCAATTTAGGTGGTTTTTTTGTCTGTGTTTTTTACATGCTAATACAGTAACAGAATAGATTATTTTGATTAATAAACCCATTTTGATAAACAGGCATTGTTTATCAAGGCATTGTAGCAGTCAATAAAGACTAAAATGTATTGTCTCAGGCTACCCTAAAATACAGCAGGAAGAGGAGAAGGAACAGGGCAGGATAACAGAGAGCAAGACTGGGTGACACAAGTAGCAGTGCCTTTCTGACAAGCTGATCTGAATGACTCCTCTTTTCTGAATGGTGTCACACCCCCTGAGCATGAACAGAAGCAAAAAATGGTTGGCTTTGGTGTCATGATCTGGTACATGGGTACAAAGCTGCAAACCTGCAAGAGTTTAAAAATGTAAAACTGCGTGTAACCTTATTGCCTTTACAGAGCAGCACGTGTTAAAAACAGGATTCAGCCTACTGAAATTTAATCAAACTCTCCTTATAATCCTCCCTCCTGGCCCTTTTTTATCTTTTCAAGTCTTGAATCTTCTAGTCCCTCTAGCTCCATCAGGTATTTTAAGAGAGCCACTGACATTTTGTTTAAAAATCATTACCTTGGTTTCAATTGACAAAAAATTACTAGGATAGAAAACGTTCTGGAAAAGGCAGGTGTGATCTTATTCTATAACTATTTAGCATGGAAGAAACGGTTTAAATGTTGAAGAATATTTTCTTATGAGAGATCTTGCCATTTCCAACTTAAGCTGCAGTTTTGCAGCGTGCATGGTTCTAGTGGACAGCTGTGCCTCCTCTTCCCATCTCGCACCAATAATTCATGACAAACGTTGCCAGGGTCACATCACCCACAAGCTGTCAAGCACTGGGCAAGTATTTAACCAACTCTCTTTACATTCTCACACTGTCATGGCAGGAATACGTACCCCAGCTCCAGTCAAGACCATTATTTTTTTGCATTCTTGTAAAAGTTTCACAGCATCATCAATAGTATTAATATCTTTTCGTTTTTTTCTTTTTGGTGGTTCCGAAAGAATGTTTATCACAATTTGCCAGAGTGTCATATCATCCAGTTCAGGTGGAGGGATTGTTTCTGGTAGCAGGTCTTTCAGAATTGTCCGTGGGTCTGTACCTAACATGAGATGCTGCTGAACAAAAGTGTAGGGACCTAAGACAAAAAAGGAAAAAAATTAAAATTGAGCCAAGTATTTCAGATGATGATGATCATCATCCCATTTATTAATGCTTGCTGCTACAATTTTAATAACCTAATTCAATGCTTTGCTCATCAAAACCCCTGTATGTTATGGTCTAAATTCTGAAGCTCTAGGGTTTTGATTATTTTATGCTAACCCATGAAGGATTTAATTGAAAGTTTATCAAGGTAGAAATCCCAGTTCACTTGATGGCTCTCAGATATTCACAAGGTTATCTCCATTGTACAGCTTCATTTGTATTTTTCCAACATTCTGTAAAGTATTTACTGTAGTGAGTTGAAGAGACAACAAACACGTGTAGTTTCTAGTCATTTTATAAAAGATCACCCAAAAGAGACAAAGAGAGCCCGCCAACCCATGGATTTTTGTTGTTCTTTTAGTCCTCTAATGATTTCAGACATGACCTCTCAAAGCCATCAAATCAATCTTGCTAGAAAAACTGGAGAATGGAGCAGTAGAAGAAAAGCAGGTAAAATCTAGGAAGCTGAAGTGACTAAGAGGACCCAAATACTTATCACTAAGGCTAGGTACAATACATACAAAGAAATCAGTTAGTTGTTACACACATTTACCCAAAAGGTATCAAGAGTGATCCTGTCACAAAGGATAAGTAAAGACAATGTAGGGGCAGATTTTAAATGGAACAGTCTGTTTACATAATGCATTTTCTTCCTGCTATTCTTATCAAAATGAATTCTATGGCATGATCATGCCTGTGTAAGTAAGACAAGAGACCTCAAGTCCTAACCCTGTGCCCTGGAGGCCCCTCTGCCACACAAACTACCAGTGACCTTAGCAGTGACCTTGCCTGTGTGCAAGGCCAGTAACTGCCATGCTTGCCATACCTGCTGCTAACATGCAATACACATGCAGACTAGCAATTCCCAAACTGATTCAACACTTAGCACAGTGAGCCCTACAGACTGCCAAAAACCATACATGAACCATCTTCTTGTTCCTTAAAGAATACATACTGGGTAAAAAGGACAGAAATATGCCATATATCTGTTCAATTTAGTGAGCCTGAGTGTATGTTTTTAATATGGATCACAGCAGGATTTCTACACACACACAAAAAAAAAGACATTGACAATCTTAACCAAAATACATTAAGTCTGAGGTTAATTTTTAAACTCCTTAAATACCACAGAGTACAGCCAATGACTTCAAGCTGCTCCAAAGCAGTCACTGCCATTTATTTTTTTTTGGCAACAGAAGAACATTTGAAGAGTGGAGAGAATTAGGTAACTGTTCAGAGGCAAACAGCATCTAAGAATATTATATAGGCTTCTACCTATACGTGGTCTTGCGGTCCAGTCACTAGAACTGGCATGTGAGGCTCTGTCATCTTCATCACTGTCACAGGAGCGAAAACCATTGCCTATGATTTCATCACTGAGAAGGAAGTTATCTGTAAGACAGGACAACGACAGGTTACACGTGAGCCAAGTGGCACAGACAGGTGCTTAAATATACCACAAAACCTAAAATAGTAGGCTTTTAAAGTGGATGGCAAATGAATTGCAACTAGGCAGTTTCAGCACTGGGACACAGAAAATTCCTACCTTTGAGTCAGAGATAGGCTTTCAAGCCTTCAGTAGATAGACTGCAGGATTTGCTATTTTAGTACTGGGCTTCAGTGGGCTGGGTGGTGACTGTAGTAACGTTTTCATTCTATCAAGTGTCAGACACTAAGGATTTTTGTATTTTAAAACCCCCCAAATCCCAGTGTTTTGAAGTACAATTAAAAATTCCTTTCTCTTACAACTCTCATCCTGTTCAGCTTACTGAGAAAGTGCGTAAAATGAAAATGTGTCACCAGTCTTTGACAAGGTTTTAAGAGCATGTTATTTTTAAAAGAAATCCACAAATCGCCATTTGGCTATCACTGAGATACAGAACGCTGCTGGGCTGTCACCAGGCAGTAGGTGACCACATGGACACTTGAACAATATTTCAGTTCTGCCAGACAAGGTGTTGCCCTGACCCACCTTCACTAAGTCTGCCTCCCCCATTTTCCCCTGCAGGGGGTTTGGCTTCGAGTACCACAGTTACTTCAGCGCAGCTCATGGCCTTAAGCCAGAGTAACTCAATCTAACTCATCATGTATCTAGAGGAGCGACTCCAAAGCACGAGATGCTTGTCTTCCAGCAAGCATTACCACCCTAGCACTGAAGGGCAAATCTAAATTTTATCCTGGGTGGCTTATTAGAATATAGACTACTACATTTTATTTCTTGGCTTTTTAATTAGACACAGCAACTGTAGCTTACTTTGTTGAAAATTCAAGACTATGAGGGAAGGAGGGCAAGTTTCAGTCATGTCCTCTGAAGCAGAGAATCACTGTAATAGTTTTCAATCTGTTTGAATGAACCCTTGCGCTGTTTCAGGCAGGTTACTTCCCTTTACTCTTAAATAATGAACACCACAAAACACCATAATGTTTTATTCAGAGATTGTGTTGTCGTGGTCTTTCCCTTGTTGGCATAAATACTTTATTCTGACTAGAGTGGAAAGATGCAGAAGACAGAAATTTGCTTTTTTGTACTTGCCGTCTTGTTCTTCTGAGACCACTGGTGCTCTTTTGACATGTATTTCTTACTATTAATCTAAGTATTTACAGCATTTCTCTTTCATCTCCTTATGCATGAACTCAAGAAACATATTACAAAAAGAAAACATTATGAAGAAAAAAAGTTGATTAGTACACATCAGTAAGTGCCAAGCACAAGTTTTATGAACACGACCTTTGTATCTGCTGTATAAAGATGCTGTTACGTTGTTAAAGACTCATCCCCTACAGGTCACACTGTCTTGTCTTGAAGAAACGCTGTGGCAGATGCAAGCAGGCTGAAGCAACAGGTTAAATGTGACACTGCCCTTGGATTCCCCAGAGCAACTGAAGAGAACGCCTGCCAGAACTAAGCAGCCCATAGTAAAACATGCCTGTGGATCAGAGTAACTTGAGCAAAAAGGCTTCACAGAAGGCACTGACAAGAAATTGTCAGCTTTACTCTTGTGCCGTTCCAGTCAGGTTTTTACACACCAAGGCTGCTCCAAGCACATCGTACAGCTCTTCCCTTTTGGACAGCTTTGGCACAGGCAGGAATCTTCTCTAGTTCTACTATGGAGTTGGAAGTAAAACATCTTAAAACTGCATTCCGGGATAAAGCATGAAGGCTTTACCGGCAGAATGCAGTGTCATACAAGCCTTTCCAAAGCACTGCCTTAAAACCCAAGGTTAACAGAAACACCCACCTCAAAGCCTATTGCTTCAACCATGCAATGCACATTAGTTTGGTACTGCCCAAGCAGTATCCTTCAAACATGGTCTGCAAAGAAACTTTTTAGATCATAGTCTAGTTTTTGCTGCAGTCACTGAAATCTCAGCCGAGGCTGTAACTTGAAGTTATTTAAAGAATAGGTCAAGGCTGCTGCTCCTGTGCAAGCTTCCAAGGAACTGAAATGAAATCATCATCACGGTAGAAATCGTGAAGCAGGGCTTATGATTGTTTTCATTTTTAATAACTCGACAGCAACGCAGGAAGAGAGATGCTTTCAGAAATGACAGCTGAGCCGCTCTCCTTCCAGGAAGCCCAGCACCAGAAACACCAGGCTCCGACAGGGGCTGATGAGCGCGGATGAGGGCTGGACAGACGGCTGAGGCAGCTGCCTGGCGCTGCGGGGAAGCAGGAGCGCGGCGGGGCCGGTGAGCCCCGCACCGGGCGGCACAGCCCGGGCACCCGCGGGGGAACCGGCCCCG